CCCAAGAAAAAAAAAACACCCTTAAACTTCATTTAAAGTGATCGTAACAGCTTCAGACACTTTAAAAAAACCGTGATTCCTGCCAGAAACTTTCTGCAGTAGGGTTTTATTTAAAGTTTTACACAGAGAAGCATTTTGCAGATTAGCAACTGTGGTTTCTTAAAAAAGTGATATAAAACTAAGACATAAGTAGATAAAACAATTGTTACTGCTTGGGTTACTTTGTGGAAAAAGAATTACTGCTTGCAGGAGGATTTTGCAAGTCATTCTTGAGGTCTTTTAGGGCACCCTACCCAGTTCTAAAATACATATAAACAAGCAGAAGAAATATTAATAAGAAATAAAGGCCCTTGATTACCATTTCCTCAAGATGACAGAAGTGGATTTAACGGCAAAAAGAAATAATTCTATGAGAATATTATAAACCATAATGAGTTGAAGAACAAAAAGGATAAAGAGCGATTCTCAAAAATGTGTTTCTTATTTAGTTTTGAATATAAATTACAGAACAAACCTTCTTATCAATGCCCGCATCTGAGTTCTCCACTTCGCCTTTCAAATTTTTCGCTGCTCTTGAAGCGTCATTGGGATATAACTTCCAAACAGCAATTTCAGTAGCTTTCTGAAAAAGAACATTTAATGAGCTATTTGAAAGTAAAAACCAGAATAGGATAGAGTAGAAGAAAGTGAAGGAAACCGTAACCTACTTGAGCAGCTTCCGATTCAGAAAGGCCTTCAGCAGTAAAGTTTTGATTTCTGACGTGAACATGGCAGACGAAACGGACGCCTTTGCTGCTATTTATCTAAAACCTGCCTACCTGAGGTAACTCATCAAAACTTTTAACAGTTGTTTAGGAGGTAACCTTCTTGAGTGAATAAGTTTTGGCTCCATTATAAAGCTTGTTTAAGAGGACTTCTGCCTCTGCTCCAAGAGAAGGCTTTTGCTTCAACGTTTTTGGTGATTTAGAGAGTTCCTGGGTGCCCTGCAAAGGAAAAGTTCAGTATGTTAGCGGTTATGACAAAAAAAAAACACTTTTGATACAAATGTTCCAGTGACCAATGCCGTAGAAACACTCTCATTGGTAAAGCGTTGCTCGTTATTCTAAAGGAGACTAAGCTAAG